ATCGGCACAATCCGAGTCAGATCTTCATTTGAGGATGACGCTGATGTGGCCAATTGATCTGCTTCGGCATTCTCAATACGAGGTACCTGATAGAATTCGACCTGATCGAATCCCCGTGCAACGTTCTCTATAACTTCTTTATATGCTTTCATTTTTTCCTCTTTGGGATGGTAGTAACCTGTCACTTGATTTATAACAAGCTATGAGTCACTAAAAACCTTTAAGCAACGTACCTGGAGGCTGCTAGCCAATCGAAGACCAGCAAGTAATGCCTCGTACTCGGCCTCATTGTTCGTAGCTGGGAACTTCAAACAGATAGATTGCTGCAGCTTGGTGCCTTCGGGTGTTGACATTACAACGCCTACCCCTGCACTTGCTTGATTCGAGGAGCCATCGACTCGAAGTTCCCACTGTGGTTCAGGGTGTACCTGCTCTTCGGGAGTGTCTTCATATTCGAGAAAAAGTCTGCTACGGCTTATCCTTTGTGCGACACCTTTGGCTCATAAGTTATATCGAAGGAACTAAGCTCGATAGCCCACTTGGTAATTCTCCCAGATAGATCGGGCTTAGAGAGTATACCCCGTATAGGATAGTTGGTGAGTACGACAGTGCTATGAGATTCAAAATAATGACGAAGCTTCCTCTTGGCATAGATCAAAGAGGCCTAGACCTCCAATAAAAGAATCAAGCAATTCTACGCTTCTTTAGATACTGTTTTTGTTTATTTTTATTGTTTATTGAGTGAGTTGTGTTATTTCTCCTTATCATTATTGGTTGGGCGAAATTTTGCACCTACACTTTGGCGCCGTCTGTGGGAATAAGAAGCAAAAGAAGAGCATTGCCAGCCTCTTCACCGTAAGGCAAAAAAGGGGGGAAACATTGCAGGATTTCTTGTCAAGATTCAACATGGAAGCCTCAGAAATAGTCATTTTTTCACGTTTCGGCTTCCTTGGTTTCACAATTAGATTTGATGTTAATTTTATAAAAGTATTAGAATTGATTTAATTTCAAAATACTTTAATTCAAATCATGTGCACTTAGGGCTGTAACTCGGGCGGGTTGGGCGGGTTTGAGGTATAACTTGAATCCAATCTACCATATGAAGTGCTAAAACTAAGCCCAATCCTAACTCTATCATCAACCTTAACTACTCAATCCGAGCCCAACTCATCATTCTACTTTTAAATTCGGGCCTGCAACTCGGGCTTAGATTCAGGGTTAAAACTTCGGGTTAATTCGGATTACTTATATGGCTAATCTTTATACCAAAATTTAATATGATCTTGAATTCATTTTAGATTAAATTACTCTTAAACAAGAATAAGTTTAAAGACTTTTTGTAGATTTTTAATAAATTACAAACAAATTTTTAGAAAATTAATTCTCCTAAATGTTAACAAAAAAAGTTGAAAAGAAAAAAAGTAATTATAGTTTAAATATTATATATAATGTACTTTAAGTAAAAATATATATGAAAATAATATTAGAATTCGGGTTTGGGTTGACTTGGGTTGCTTGCACTTCAATCCAAGCCCAACCCTAATTAAATTCGGATTGAAAATTTTCAACTCAAGTCCAACCCTAATTGTAAAAATGATTGCCCAAGTCCGTAAAAAATCGAGCTGGACTCGACTTGGGTTCGGATTACCCAACCCAAGTTGCACCCCTATGTGCACCTTAGAAATTTATGTTGATATATATATTTTTTTTGGCTGACATCAACTTTCACTAATTATTAACTCCAATGAAAGAAAAAAATGATACAAATATACAAACTTTAAGGGTCAGTTTGGTGCAATGGCAAAGGGAGGAAATGGAAAGGAAGGTGATGGAGGGGGATTAAAATTTTGTTTTTGTCAAAAATTGTTAGAAGGAAAGGGAAGGGTTTGGAGGGTTAACACAAGGTTTCAACAGTAAATTTCTTAATCTCCCAAAAATGGGAGGAAATGAAGGGAAAGGGGAGGAGAGGCTTGGTGTGTGATTTTAGATGCCAATTTTGCCTTTGATTACATATGAATTTAGTTTGCAAAACAAAAATTACAGACCTTGATTAGTTGATTTAGCAGTTGCAGAGAGAGAGGGGGGCAAGCTTGAGAGTTGAGAGAAAGAGGGCCAGCAGTTGAAGCTTGCGAACCGCGAACCCGAATTGGAACAGCGGGTGATGGAAACTGAAAGATCGATGTGGGTTTTGATTTTTTTGAACAATCTAAAATTGGGTTTTGATTTTTTGAACAATCTAAAATGATGCCAATATGGGTTTTGAAGTTTTGATTCTTGCAGACAAATATATAAACTGAAATATATGGGTTTTAAACTTCTGATTCTTGTATTTGCAGTTGCAGAGAGAGAGAGATAGAGAAAGAGAGGGCAAGTTCAGAGTTGAGAACGAGAATAGAGATGGAGGCAGAAATGATTTGCCCTAATTTTTTTTTAAATTTTCTGGTGGCCGATCCATGGGCCTTTATACAGGAGACAAATATATATATATATATATATATATATATATATATATATATATAAATTTATATTTTAAAATATAAAAGGGCATAATAGTAAATTTATTAAAATAATTCTTATTCCTATCATTCTCTTTCTTTCCCTAAACATGATTATTATCTTTCCATTTCTTTTCCATTCAATAACCAATCAAACACGATAGGAGACTAAAGTTATTCTTCCCTTCCCTTTCCCTCATAACTAATGTTATCCTCTCCCTTCAAACCCAACCTACCAAACATAGCCTAAGAGATGTAAGAACAATTTTCTAAAACTTAAATGTGTTTATTAAGTTATTAAGTTATGAAGAAGTCATTGCATATATTAGTTTGCAGATGACTAGAGGGTGAGTTGAAAAAAATAATAATACAGAGTAATAATAATACCCAGGCAGCAGTGGCGGATCCAAGGGCCCCCCTCCCAAAAAAAAAAAAAAAAAAAATTAGTATAGGCATATTTAGCCCAATGTTTTAAAAAAGAAAAAATTAGTAGTAGTATTAGCCCTCCCAATTTTAACCTATCCAAATAAGCCCAATATCTAAGCCACAATTTAAAAATAAAGGCCCAACTAAATAGGCCCAAGCCAAATAAGCCCTAAACAATCACTAAGCCAAAGCACAGGGAACTCCTAAATTCCTAATCTTGCACAAATCAGAGAGATCACTCATTCTCTCCCTCTAAAGTCTAACCCTATTTTCTCTAAAATTTTCTAACTCTTTAATCTTTCGATCCCCAATTCTCCCTTGTTTAATATTAGCCCCCATTAACAATTCTTGGATTCGTCCTTGCGAGGCAGGAAGTGTATTTATAGTAAAAAGTAAATGTCGACAAATACAGTATTGCCAATAAATTGTACTCAATTGTTTTGAGTGTCATTTATCTTCATATATTTGCACAAATTCAGCATATGGGAAACAAAACAAACCCAACACAAATACTTTACTACTACTACTAAAGACTATATAATTTACATTTTTTACTACTACTAGTAAAGACTATATAATTTACATTTTTTTATTGTATTGGAAACACTAAATCAACTTTTAAAATTAAAATTAGAAGATATTTAATTTAAATTTTATTCTAAATCACCCAATAAGCCAGGTTTTAATTTATAATTGCTAGCTCATTTTATGATCAAAAGCAAAAGCCTTGATTTCATCGATTAGAATGGATAGATCAGAGTAAGATGACCCACCATCTTCCACAGCCTTCTTAGCCATCCAACCAAGCTGTTTCACTCACTCTCTCATCTGCTCCGATTCTTCTGAAACGTCCATCAATTGACGTACAGGTCTCTCTATCTTATCTTTCCCACAACCGGACCCGTAATAGTAAAAGCGGAGTTCCAGACCACCGATCCGATTTTGACCCCAATCTTCAGCACCTGAGTAATTAGTTTCTCGCTGTATAATTGATCCCCGAACAACGGCCATGTCACGAACAGCACGCCGGCGATGACACCTTCTAGCACCGAGTTCCAACCACAATGATTCAAAAACCCTCCACCACTGGATGCTCCAAAATATGGATCTGTGGAGCCCACTCTCTCATTATTATTCCATTCCCAAAACAACCTTATGACAACCACTTTTGTTTTTCATCTTCTTCTTCTCATGTCTTTCTCACAACGACACAACCTAAATAAAAGGGTGTCCAGATCGGAAACCCAACTCAGTTTTATATGTTTGTTTTGGTAGCATGACCCGATTCTCAGAAAGCCAACTCATTACACCACAACTACTACTAGCAGATGATTTTGATACTAGTCTATTGGAGAAGTGAGAAACAGGGCCTAAACTCGAACACTTCCTTCCAATAACGTTCCTCAAATAATCAATGTAAGTGGGTTCGAGCTCATAGAAACTGTTAAGGATTGTACCGAAGCTTTTACACTCGGACTCGCTAACTATTTTCATCAACTCTTTGTATCTCCCGGCATGTTCGGGTAGTTAAGACGTTGTGATCTTAATCTTGTGAGGAAGACCGGGAATCACAAAAGTCTCGGTATCGGATTGTACCTTCTCATGAGGAGCATATAACTCCGTGCAATGCCACACACAGGGTAAGAAGTTGCTGGAGGGATCGAAGAAAAGAACAGGAATATTGTTGAGCTCATTTGCGAGTTGGAGAGTACAAGGGAAAAGCATATTAGAGACGATGCAGTGAGGGCTGATGCCTCGAATCAATGCCCTCTATGGGTTTCTGTAGCATTGCAATGCCTCGATAGAGTTTGGAAAACATTGGTTCTGCAGCTATTGTTTCGTCATCGTCATTTGCGGTAATGATGGTGTAGAGGGAAAAATCTCCCTCCAATAAGAATTGTACACGTCATCACAATGTAAATACCCATCACAAATGTCAGAGGCCCATCCTGCTCAAAGCCCAATCCAAGCTCGTTGACAGCCCAAAGTCATAAGACACTAACCCAAGGTCGTAGATAATTGATCTCTGTAGCATTGCTCAAGCTCGAAACAAGAGATCCATCCCGTTAGCAATGTCACATGGATCAGGTTACTTATAGCCCAAATCCATTATAAGGAAATTAGTCCTATTAGAAAAAGGATACAGCAAAGAAAGAAACTACTACACAAGGAAAATTATACAAAGGAAGGAGCTCTATTTGTAAAGAATTTCTGTAGGGAAAGAATTGGAGGACAAGCAATGTGAGTCCTACCATAATTCAACCAATCTTTTGTGTATAAATAGAGGCCCAGACCTCCAATAAAAGGATCAAGCAATTCTACGCTTCTTTAGATACTGTTCTTGCTTTTTTTTATTGTTTGTTGAGTGAGTTGTGTTACTTCTCCTAATCATTATTGGTTGGGTGAAATTTTGCACCTACACTTTGGCGCCGTCTGTGGGAATCGTGTGCAAATATATTCCCACTCTTGTTTTTTATTTCACAAGTGAATCCTGCAGCTACCATCCAGGATGTCGAATGGAGGATCTTCAACAGATCAACAGATGGAGTTGATGCAGAAGATGCGTGAAGAGTTTTTACACTAGTTTGACGTACTTCGTCAGGCAAACGAAGCAAGCGTGGCTCAGATCACCTTGCTTCAACAGCAGAATAACACTCTGCAAATGGCACTGGCTCAGTTGGCACCACCGCCACCAGTGGATGACACAGTAGCACCCCCTAGTTAGAATATTCCTCCGATTACTGGACTTCCGCCTGATGGGGCTCCACCTAATGAGGCTCAGCCAAATGAGGTTCAGCAACAACGGAGGGCAAGATCCAAGGCTGCGGCTTCAGATAACGTCCCTCGTCGCACACAGGATGAGCAAGTCGAATCCAGCCATAAGCTTACGGTGTGGTCTAATGGAATCCTAGATGGTGCAGGTGTTCAGGATGCCTTTGACGAGAAGAGACTCCTGAAGATTCAGACACCTGCCGAGATGGCTAGAGAACACAAAAATTCCTTGGTCAAAACTCCTTTCACTGACGATGTGTATCTGGTTGAGAGGCCCAACAAATTTACCATGCTTTCTTTCACCCAGTTTGATGGAACAGGGGATCCTTCTCGGCACCTAGATCATTACGCTCAAAAGATGGCTTTAGATGATCGTAATGACCCTTGGATGTGAAGAGTTTTTCCTACCAGTTTGACAGGAGCAGCACTAGAGTGGTTCAGGAATAGACCGCATAAGTCCATCCTGGATTACGTAACTCTATGCACCATATTCCTGGCACAGTATTACGGAAATAAGAAGCAAAAGAAGAGCATTGCCAGCCTCTTCACCGTAAGGCAAAAAAAGGGGGAAACATTACAGGATTTCTTGTCAAGATTCAACATAGAAGCCTCAGAAATAGCAGATTGTCATCCCGCAACTGCTATAGAGACATTTAAACTCACGATGATTCAGGGGATGAAGTTCCACACTTCCTTAGTCAAGTATTCTCCTCCTGACATGCAGTCTCTCAATGCCAGGGCCCAGATCTACATTCGGCTTGAGGAAAATATAGCCCACCGAGCGCAGCACGCCACCCTCGTAACAGTGGAAAACAAGCCTCGAGAAAGAGTTCCAACTCCAAAGATTCAAAAAAGCCAACATTCCTCAACGCCAATCACCCAGGCACTTGAAAAAAGGCAAAGGGTAGAAGAAGGATTTACACCTCTCTGAACTACCTTGGCTCGACTCTTCCAAGAGATTAAGATGAAGTTCACAACTCCGCAGCCAATAAAGCAACCCCTGGAGCAAAGGGACAAAAGCAAGCATTGCGCTTATCATTGAGATTATGGGCATTCAACCAATGATTGCAGATCCCTCAGGCAACAAGTGGAGAATATGATCGCCAGAGGTGAGTTGACGGATTACCTCATGACAAAGGAGTATGCAAAGCCTTGCGAGGTCTATCCCCGCAAGGTGAAAGGTACGCAAGTAAAAGTCATCCATGCAATACATGGCAGGTCTGAAGATGATCAAGAGTCCGAGGAAGTATATAGATCCAGATTGAGGGCAGCCCATAAGCTCAGGAGGATATCCTCGGTCAGTGCTATCGCTTGGGGTAGCATCAGTATTGGATTCGGAGATGACGACCTATCCAGAGTTCAACTCCCCCACGAGGATCCATTGGTCATCAGTCTTTTAGTGGCCAATTGTATGATCCGAAGGGTTTTGATAGATCCAGGAAGTAGCGCCAACATAATTACAAAGACGGTCTTTGAGCAGCTAGAGATCCCGTCATCATCTATTCGACCTACCTCCAGCCCGTTGATGGGGTTCGATGGCACAAGAGTAGATCCCCTTCGAGTAATAGACTTGTCCGTAACTCTGAAGGAGAACTTTGTTTTAACAGAGATCCATCCTTCTTACAATCTCATCATGGGAAGAGGTTGGATAAATCGGATGAGAGGAGTTCCGTCCACCCTTCACCAGGGGATGCGGTGCTTATCTCCAGACGGGAAAGAAGTAATTAATCTGTGGGGCGATCAAGTTGCAGCGAATGAATGCTATATGTTGACACAAGTTGAAGCAAAGACGGTGTCGACTGATAAGTGCCGAATATTGCATATTCAAGCGCCCTTATTTGCATTATTTAAGTCCATTATTTTATCATATTGCATATTCTAACTTCATTTGCATGCTTTTATTTATTTTCAGGTTGGTTCCCCAAAGAGAGTTAAAAGAGATGCTTTGACGAGTTCTTAAAGAATTAAAGCACACCGTTGCCAGGGACCTTCATTTTGGCCAAGATTAATAATCCATGGGACTCATGACGCTCTATGCAAAAAGTTCTAGGAAGAATTAACACGTCTTCGGGCTGAGCCAAATCATTTTAGGTTGTAAGTAGCAAATTGGTGCAAGGCTGTAACAGCGCGGGCGCCAGTTCATTTTCCATCAGACTTTGGCCTACAATTCTGACCCTTTGTATGTGCGATTTTGGTCTTTAGTAAAACATAAAATATTAAGGGCTATGAGTCAGCTTTCCATAGACATAAATTTTACCTCATTTGGAGTTCGGAGCAAAGAGTTATGTCATTTTTACCAAAGGTGCGCAGAACAGCCTGGCAGCAGTGAAGTTCGACTTTGTTCTTCATTTTAGACCCACCAAACTTGAGAACTAGACTTCCATTAAAACATGGCATACTTAGAGCTTTGAATTAGATTTCTAAATCTTCAAAAGGTTCATCATTTGGTGTTTGGAGCAGAAAGTTATGGCCATTTTACCAAAGTATCTCAAAGCTAAGTAAGTTGACTTCGAGCGCTCGAAGGGCTTATTTCGAGCGCTCGAACTTTGAGCAGAATTCTCTCCGGGATCCATCACTTCAGCCCACTTGCTCCTTGATTCCCTCATTTCTTATTTCCATCTTTATGGGTTGGTTGGAGATGTCTTTTGGTGGGAGTTGAGCCTTGTTTGGTGAGGGTTTGGTAGGATAATGTCTAAAAGAAAGGAGGGGGAACCACACATAACATGATATATCTCATCTTGTAAGATTTCTAGAGAGAGAAGGAGGAGAAAAAGAGGAAGTTCTTGAAGCTACAACAAAGGAGCTCGAAAATTGAGGGATCTTCCAAGCTTCTTCCTTCTTCTAAGGCTCCCATGGGTAACTAAACCTCCATCTAGGGAGGTGATGAAGCCCCTCCCTTATAAGCATGTCCTAGTATAGTTCTATTTTGGGGATTGCAATGTATAATCTTTGGTCCTTTCATGGTCTAGAGCATTTTGCCTCTTGTAATGGATCTTCATGTATTTAAATGATTAATGTTGAGTCAATTATCTATCTTAGATGGTTTATTCTTTTAATCATATTGCTTGCACTCTCATGGTGACAATGGTAGTGAGATCATAGAATAGTTTTAATGGCATGGAGTTGGAGAACTTTGATAGATCATTGCTTAGGTGATGCCTTTGATGGTTTATGCTTATTTCTTACCTTCATGTGCTTCATCATTTTATCTAGGGCTTGATAATCTTTCATTCAAGTAAATGTGATTAAGCTACACATTAGTTAGGTAGTCTAAACATGTTCACCTTTGATGGATCATGTTTGCTTGAGATTTAATGAACTTCTTGAGGATATTATAGCACCAAGTGTTACTATGTATCATGAGCATAATATATATTGTTTTTCCCCCAATTTAGCTCTAATCTAGCATGTGTATAGGGATGGAGGCGGATTCACTTCCCTAGTCCTCTTTACTTGTATTTCATCTCCTTTAAACTCTTGTAAACTTTTATTTTATGCACCTTCCTTTCATAGCTTAAGTGACAACCAACAAATCCTCTATGAACACCTCGTATCATTCTAAAAAGACTCTAGACACTTAGGTTGCCATAGATTAGCGCAGTCCCAGTGGTTCGACTTACCCGACCAATAGCCCTATTTTACAATGATTCGTGCTATTGCGAAGGTTGATTTATTATAGATTGAATTCTCAACCGATCAATTTTTGGTGCCGTTGCCGGGGACTGCAAATGGTTTAGCAACCGAAGTTCTAGGGTTAATTTTGGATTGATTGTCAATATTGTGAATTGTGAATATTTCTTGTGTAGTTTAACCTTCTTGTGTTGTAAGTGAGATTCTAGGGACTCGAAGCTCGCCGGGGGAAAGCTAGCTAATATGTAAGTCTAGAGGACCCCAGGTAAGTCTCTTGACCTTCTAGTTTCGACATTGTGAATATTGTGCATGTGTTAAATTTAGTGATAATTTAGTTGTGAAGCCCTTGTCGAGGCTATCATTTTGTTTATTTTTAATTGCAAAGCATCGGTCCTTGTCGTGGCCATTTACATTTCTGTCTTGATAATTGAGGAGAACGGGATCATTGCATGTGGATGTTTTGGTGAAGGATTGTTGTGTATCTTGTTTGTGTTGTATATATTTTGTGTGAATTTATCTTAATGTATCTAAACAAGTGGCTAAATTAGTCCTAAATGGAGGGTCATTATCTTCTAACTCAATTCTACACACCACATGAGTTTTGTGCATTTTGCTCTAGTCATACACATCATACAAGAGATTGTCCTTCACCGGGACAATTCTCAGATTTTTATCTAGAGCAACCAACTGAAAATTTATTTGAACCGGGTAATGATCCATACTTCAATGGTTATGACTCGGGTTAGGGAGATCATCAAAACTTCTTGTGGCATGACATAGGAAATTCAGCCTCACAATCTCATGGGCAACATTTTCACGCCAATTTTCAACCCAATGATCATTATTTCCAGCCCTCATCTCTTTTTCCACCATCTCAATTGGATGAGTTCATTGCTGTAAACAAACAAATGATAGAGTCTATCAACAAGCAAATGAAGGATTCCAACAAGCAAATGTTGGATGATATTGTTAGCATGCAATCCACCACCTATTCTCATTCCCAATCTAGAGTTAAGTTAGATGACTAAATTGCCCAAATTCAACAAATGGTTAATGCTCTAAATCATGAAAAGGAAGAAGAATTTCCCATTGAACTTGTGGCCAATCCAAAAGAAAATTCTATGAATGATGAGATTACTCCTAGTAACTTTCATCATGAGAATGATCAAATGGTTACCACATGTGAAAATGACGAAATTGTGGTTGAAGATCAAATTGTTGCCACACAAAAAAATGAAGAATTTGTGGTTCAAAATAAGGAAAATAATGACAAAGAGATTGTCTCCTTTAAAAATTCAAAACAGCCCCTTAAGAATCCTTCGCTTGATACACCTCCTTCAATGGAGGATCCTCTAAAAGCTTGCTTGGCTCATTTCAATTGTGAGGATTTTGATGTTGACAATTCTATTTGGGAGGTAAATTCTTTGCTTGATATTCCTCCACTCATTCACTCTCCTCATTGGGAAACATCAAATGTATCTCTTTCTTGGGAGCTTGCACCTCCTCTCATTCTTTCACTTGAGTTATCTCAAGCTCTTGAGCCCGAACCGCCGGATAAGTGTGAGGAGGATGTTGAAAGTATGAAGGATAATTTGTCAAGCATTCCTGTGCTCAATATGACCCTTCACAAGTCTTTGCTTGGTGTGCCCTCACTTGATCCACCTTTCCATCATCCAAAACAGCCCCTAAATAATCCAAAGTTCTTCATTGAGGAAGAAGAGTGGGTTGAGATCTTTTCTTTACCCCTTTTCAATTTCTTTCTTCAAGCTCTTTTTCTTCCGCTTTTAAAAGAACTTTCTTATTTAGTAAAACTTGACTCTCTTGAGAGACATGGTATAGGGTAATGAAGACTAACCTGATCTTGTGCGTCTAGCTATCGACGTTAAATTTAGCATCCAAGGGAAGAAATTCTTTCTATTTCCACACTTCCCTAATTTTCAATTGCCTGGGCTTTGAAATTTTCTGGGAAATTGCTAAGGAAAGCCAAAATTTAATCTTATCTGGAACTATCTTAAATTGTTGTCCAAAATTTAGACTGGTTTTCTTAGGCCTTCTGCAACCCTTATTTTCATTACCGGAAATTTTCAGCTCTATCCGGCAATTTCATCAGTCTTTCGACATGGTACTCTTGTGCATAACCTCCTTCTTTCAATGCACTGGTTGTTTGAAGTTTCCCAAGTCCATCCGTGCATTTAAGTCCTTCATTGGCACTCTCTGAACTTGTTGTCGATACCATGCAGCAAAGATTGCAACCCAAGCATTCATAGGGCTTAGAAAAGTTTTGCCCTGTAGTTCGAGCGCTCGAAACATCTCTTTCGAGCACTCGAAAGTTCCAAAATGCTCACTGTCAAGTTTTCGAGCGCTCGAAACATCACTTCGAGTGCTCGAAAGATCCATGCAGCATCCCATTCCCTACTGCCTTCAGTTTGAGCACTCGAAGACACCATTTCGAGCGCTCGAAAGTCCATCCATGCCCACTGTCCATTTTTCGAGCGCTCGAAGAGTCACTTTCGAGCGCTCGAAACCTACTGTCCATACTTTGAGCGCTCAAAGGGCTTACTTCGAGCGCTCGAACTCCCCTACTCCTTTTAAATCTCGACGCTCCCTCTTCCTTTGGTTCATCTCACCTCTTCACTCCTCCACTTCGTCCACCACACCCCCATGACCTCCCACCTTTTCCTCCCCTCCATAACTTCCCTAACCTCTCCACTCCCCCACTCATGCATTCACCCACTGTAAATACCCATTTCCCCCCCCCCCTCATGCATGCATTCCCATAACTTCTCCACCCCTTCCTCTTCCTTATTTCTTCATCTCCAACCTTCTCCCATCTCCATCATTCTCTCCTACACATCATCACCACTTACCACCAAGCACAAGGGGCCTTTAGTTCTCCATTTTTGGGTGAGTTTCTTCTTTCTTTTTCTTTTTCACGTTTTTTTTGTATAAAAGGATGATAGAATTGTTTGTGTAGAGGTATAGTATGTGTTTGGGGCTTGTATATAGTCAATTACAGGTAAAAAAATTTGGGTTTTCAAGCACCATTCATTGTCTTTGCCTCTAATTTTTGCAAAGTGCACACCACCTGCTTGACAAAATTCCTAAACCAACTTCATCTCTCTAAATGGCACCACTTTTGGCATTATTTTGTTATCCATTTTAACCTTATGGCTAATGTGTGCATATTTGTGTTTTGTTTGGATTTTTATCTTTCAATAAAATTCATGTTAATGTTATTATTTCTGTTTTGGTTTTTCTTAAGAGACCTATGCTTTTACAAGTGTATATTAGTTGTGTTTTGACAGGTCTTCATGTCCAAGTTTGGGGGAAACAGTTGCGCATTCACATAGATGGAAACCTTTGCCTTCGTCACTACACTTGGTCTTATTGTTCTTTTACCCTCTATGCTCTTTATTTTACATCTTTGTCTTCACACATTGAGGACAATGTGTCATTCAAGTTTGGGGGTATTGTGTATTGTATAGTGTTTGCATTTGCTATTTTGTTCAAATAGATTGGTATAAAACTGAAAGTTTAAAAAAAAAAATGGAAGAAATGATTTAATAGTTTTGGAACTTGTTGGAGATTGAAGCATGTGTTGAATACTTTGTGTATAGGGGTAAATGATAGTTATGAAATGAGGAAAATTTGAAATGAACATGTGGATTCAAAATGGTTTGTATAAATGCTTCAATTAGACTATCTTCGAGTATCACTCTCTTCTATGCTTCACATTTCACATATACACACCGGAAACTTAATTGTGAGGCATGCAACCCGATTTACCCTGACTATGACTTTGTTGATTTGAATTGATGACCCTAATAAATGGATATCTTTGGCATTGAAAATATATATATGGTTAGATAAGAAAATAATGACCAGTTTGAGAAAATAATGGTTTGTATAAATGCTTCAATTAGACTATCTTCGAGTATCACTCTCTTTTATGCTTCACACTTCACATATGCACACCGGAAACTTAATTGTGAGGCATGCAACCCGATTTACCTTGACCATGACTTTGTTGATTTGAATTGATAATCCTAATGAATGGATATCTTTGGCATTGAAAATATATATATATATATATATATATATATATATATATATATATATATAGTTAGATAAGAAAATAATGAGCAGTTTGAGTTTGTAGCCTTTCCAACTCGAGTTATTAAGCCCTAGGAGTGTCTCTACACTCAACACCTTAAAGCCATCTGGTTTGGGAGTTGTTGGCCTAACGCTTGCTACATGGGTTGGTTAGAAAGCTTAAAAGACTTAGACATTGCACAGTCATTCAAAATTACAATATATATATATATATATATATATATATATATATATATATATATATATTGTAATAAACATGGTTTGTTGGAGTTCGTAGCCTTGCCAATTCAAGCTATTAAGCCCTAGGAGTGTCTCTACACTCAACACCCTAAAGCCATCTGGTTTGGGAGTTGTTGGCCTAACACTTGCTACATGGGTCGGTTAGAAAGCTTAAGGGACTTCGGCATTGCACGACCATAATATGTATCATCTATAAAATAAAAAAATTAAATAAATAAAAATAAAAATAAAAAGAAAAAGAAAAGAAAAGCAATAAAAAGTTGTATGGTGAATAAATTCATGCTTTAGAGACCTCATTAAAAAGGGAAATTTAATGATTTGAAGACTTGTGTTGTGAAATTGGAAAAAGAAGGTAAAAGCCACATGTTGGGAATCCGGTTCACTTTCACTGAAGCTAGAGTTGATTTCTATTATAGATATGACAATTGAAGTATTTATATGGACCATGATGTTGATGCATGAGAATTGAAAGATGTTTTTCCATTTTGTATATCAAGGCCTCATATACACACAGTAGTCTTCATAATGATTCCATCTCCAATGTTTTCTATATTCCAAGTTTGAAGATGAGCTTTGTGCAACTTTATGCACCATGTTTGATGTTTGTGGGTACCTTTTCTGTTAAACCCTCACGAGACTTCACTCGTCCTCTAGGGATGCGTAGGGGTTTAAAAGGCCTGTTGCATATGCTAAATGTAACCGTCACTCTCACGAAAGAAGAGTCATTTTGTTATTCCATTGTGTATTCAGTATTGTTTTGCTAAAGGACTAGCAAAATGTAAGTTTGGGGGTGTGATAAGCGCCAAATATTGCATATTCAAGCGCCCTTATTTGCATTATTTAAGTCCATTATTTTATCATATTGCATATTCTAGCTTCATTTGCATGCTTTTGTTTATTTTCAGGTTGGTTCCCCAAAGAGAGTTAAAAGAGATGCTTTGACGAGTTCTTAAAGAATTAAAGCACGCCGTTGCCAGGGACCTTCATTTTGGCCAAGATTAATGATCCATGGGACTCATGACGCTCTATGCAAAAAGTTCTAGGAAGAATTGCCGCGTCTTTGGGCCGAGCCAAATCATTTCAGGTTGCAAGTAGCAAATTGGTGCAAGGCTGTAACAATGCGGGCGCCGGTTCATTTTCCATCAGACTTTGGCCTACAATTCTGACCCTTTGTATATGTGATTTTGGTCTTTAGTAAAACATAAAATATGAAGGGCTATGAGTCATCTTTCCATAGACATAAAGTTTTCCTCATTTAGAGTTCGGAACAAAGAGTTATGTCATTTTTACCAAAGGTGCGCAGAATAGTCTGGCAGCAGTGAAGTTTGACTTTGCTCTTCATATTAGACCCACCAAACTTGAGAACTGGACTTCCATTAAAACATGGCATACTTAGAGCTTTGAATTAGCTTTCCAAATCTTTAAACGGTTCATCATTTGGAGTTTGGAGCAGAAAGTTATGGCTATTTTACCAAAGTATCTCAAAGCTGAGTAAGTTGACTTTGAGCGCTCGAAGGGCTTATTTTGAGCGCTCGAACTTTGAGCAAAATGCTCTCCAGGATCCATCACTTCAGCCCACTTGCTCCTTGATTCCCTCATTTCTTATTTCCATCTTTATGGGTTGGTTGGAGATGTCTTTTGGTGGGAGTTGAGCCTTGTTTGGTGAGGGTTTGGTAGGATAATGTCTAAAAGAATGGAGGGGGAACCACACATAACATGATATATCTCATCTTGTAAGATTTCTAGAGAGAGAAGGAGGAGAAAAAGAGGGAGTTCTTGAAGCTACAACAAAGGAGCTCGAAAATGGAGGGATCTTCCAAGCTTCTACCTTCTTCTAAAGCTCCCATGGGTAACTAAACCTCCATCTAGGGAGGTGATGAAGCCCCTCCGTTATAAGCATGTCCTAGTATAGTTCTATTTTGGGGATTGCAATGTATAATCTTTGGTCCTTTCATGGTCTAGAGCATTTTGCCTCTTGTAATGGATCTTCATGTATTTAAATGATTAATGTTGAGTCAATTATCTATCTTAGATGGTTTATTCTTTTAATCATATTGCTTGCACTCTCATGGTGACAATGGTAGTGAGATCATAGAATAGTTTTAATTGCATGGAGTTGGAGAACTTTGATAGATCATTGCTTAAGTGATGCCTTTGATGGTTTATGTTTATTTCTTACCTTCATGTGCTTCATCATTTTATCTAGGACTTGATAATCATTCATTCAAGTAAATGTGGTTAAGCTACACCTTAGTTAGGTAGTCTAAACATGTTCACCTTTGATGGATCATGCTTGCTTAAGATTTAATGAACTTCTTGAGGATATTATAGCAACCAAGTGTTGCTATGTATCTTGACCATAATATATATTGTTTTTCCCCCAATTTAGCTCTAATCTAGCATGTGTATAGGGATGGAGGCGGATTCACTTCCCTAGTCCTCTTTACTTGTATTTCATCTCCTTTAAACTCTTACAAACTTGTATTTTATGCACCTTTCTTTCATAGCTTAAGTGACAACCAATAAATCCTCTATGAGCACCTCGTATCATTCTAAAAAGACTCTAGACACTTAGGTTGCCATAGATTAGCGTAGTCCCAGTGGTTCGACTTACCCGACCAATAGCCCTATTTTACAATGATTCGTGCTATTGCGAAGGTTGATTTATTATAGATCGAATTCTCAACCGATCATCGACTCAACAGCAACCAGGTGTGGCTTCCAAAACAGGACCCAAATAGCAATTAAAGAGCCCTCTGCCTAAGTATCTTAAGATAGAGGAGGAAGAGGAAATTGCGAAGCCCACCGAGGAGACCCTTGAAGCCGTGGAAGTTTTCCTCGGTGACCTTCAGAAGGTTACCTATCTAGGCTCTTCCTCTACGTCCGAAGAAAATGAGGCGTTAATTGATGTTATCCGGAGCAATGCAGATGCCTTTGCGTAGGATCACTCAGACATGGTATGGCTTTGCGTAGGATCACTCAGACATGGTATGGGTCGATCCCTTAGTTTCCTGCCATAGTCTGAAGGTGGATCCGGAGTTCAAACCGGTTAAGCAGAAACACCGAAGATTTGCCCCCAAACGCAATCACATTATAGCTGAGGAAGTGAGCAAATTGTTGCAAGCAGGTTTCATTCGAGAAGTGCAATATCTACAGTGGCTGTCAAACGTGGTAGTCATACAAAAGAAGAATGGAAAATGGAGGGTTTGTGTAGACTATACCAACCTTAACAAAGCCTGCCCTAAAGATAGCTTCCCTCTGCCCAAGATAGATCAGATGGTTGATGCTACCACCGGCTACGAGAGGCTGACATTCCTAGATGCATACTCGGGATACAATCAAATTCCTATGAATCCCGAAGATAAAGAAAAAATGGCTTTTATTACAGAAAAGGGGACTTATTGTTACAGGGTCATGCCCTTCGGACTGAAGAATGTTGGAGCTACTTATCAACGCCTTGTCAACAAGATATTCGATAATCTGCTGGGAAAGACAGTTAAAGCATATATAGATGACATGGTGGTTAAAAGTGTGAAGAAAGAAGAACATCCGAAGCATCTACAGGAAGGTTTCAATACCTTGAAGAAGTACAACATGAAGCTGAATCCATCCAAGTGCTCATTCGCGGTATCATTAAGTCAATTCCTCGGCCACATAGTGAATAAAATAGGGATAGAGGTAAGTCGGGCTCAGGCTAAGGCCCTCATCTAGAATCAGGAACCAAAAAACCGTAGGGAGGTGCAGGTTCTTACCGGTCGGATCGCAGCCCTCAGCCGGTTTATATCCCGATTGTCAGATAAGTGCAAACCATTCTTTGATGCTATACGATCTAAGAATAAAGATATATGGGGACCTCAGCAGCAGGAGGCCCTCAGTCGGTTGAAAGGTTACGTGGCCGAACCATCAATTCTATCCACTCCAAAACCCGGGGAGGTTCTTATTATGTATTTGGCAATTTCTAATATAGCGACAAGTGCAGCATTGATTAGAGAGGAAGGAAAGAGGCAATATCCAGTCTTCTACATAAGTAAGACCATGACAGATGCGGAGACACGATATAGTAAAGCAGAAAAAGTCATCTTAGCCTTGATCTATGCCAAGAGGAAGCTTCGGCATTATTTTGAATCTCATAGCATTGTGGTACTCACCAACTATCCTATACGGGTATACTCTCTAAGCCCGATCTATCTGGGAGAATTACCAAGTGGGCTATCGAGCTTAGTTCCTTCGACATAACTTATGAGCCAAAGGTGTCGCACAAAGGACAGGCCGTAGCAGACTTTTTTCTCGAATATGAAGACACTCCCGAAGAGCCGATACACCCTGAACCACAGTGGGAACTTCGAGTAAATGGCTCCTCGAGTCAGGTAAGTGCAGGGGTATGAGTTGTAATGTCAGCACCCGAAGGCACCAAGCTGCAGCAATCTATCTGTTTGAAGTTCCCGGCTACGAACAATAAGGCCGAGTACGAGGCGTTACTTGCTGGTATTCGATTGGCCAGCAGCCTCCAGGTACGTTGCTTAAAGGTTTTTAGTGACTCACAACTTGTTATAAATCAAGTGACAGGTCAGTACCATCCCAAAGAGGAAAGAATGAAAGCATATAAAGAAGCTGTAGAGAACGTTACACAGGGATTCGATCAAGTCGAATTCTATCAGGTACCTCGTGTTGAGAATGCCGAAGCAGATTAATTGGCCACATCAGCGTCATCCTCAAATGAAGATCTGACTCGGATTGTGCCGATTAACGTCCTGGACGAGCCCAGCATTAATCCTCCGCAGGAAGTAATGGTGATTCCAGTTATTCCTCGAGAACCATGCTGGATTGATCCATTGGAAGCCTACCTCAAGCATGGACTTCTTCCAAACCAGAAGTTCGAAGCACGGAAGCTCCGTCTCACTGCAGCTAAATATGCCATCATTAACAATCAGTTATACCGAAAGTCATTTTAAGGTCCTTACCTGAAATGTTTAAGCCCTACTGTGGCTCTTGTGGTGTTGAAACAAATTCATGACGGAGATTGTGGCAACCATTTTGGGGGTAGATCCCTTGCGCATAAAGTCCTGACTCAAGGTTACTTCTGGCCGTACTTGGCCCAGAATGCAAAAGAGTGTACTCGGAGGTGTGACAAATGTCAATGTCACGGTCCCATGAAGCATCAACCTGCAAAAGATTTGCATACAATGGCAAATCCATGGCCATTCACACAATGGGGGATTGATATGGTGGGCCCGTTACCCAAGACTGTGAAACAAAAGGAGTACGTGCTACTGACTACAGATTATTTCACTAAATCGGTAGAAGTCGAGGCCTACTCAAGTGTGACCCATGAGCAGGTAAAAACTTTCCTTTGGAACAACATCATTTGCCGGTTTGGGGTCCCAAAAGTCATTATGATGGACAATGATAAGAACCTCGACAATAGAAGTACAAAAAAATTCTTTGCTGAGCATGGAATTATACAAAAGTTAGCTGCAGTTAGTCATCCACAAGGGAATGGACAGGCTGAAATAACTAATCGGACCATTTTCAGTTGTTTAAAGAAGAAATTGGAGAAACTCAAAACGAAATGGTACGAGGATCTCCCTTAGGTGCTTTGGGTGTACCGAACCACACCACGGTGACCCACGGGGGAAAGTCCTTTTGCCATGACTTATGGATCCGAAGCAGTGATTCCAACCGAAGCGGCGACTCCAACCCTTCAGAAATCCTTGTTGCTTGAAGGAAACAATAGTCAGCAACTCGAACATAGTCTCGAACTCCTCGATGAAAAAATGGATGTTGCAGCAATTAGGCTTACTTCATATCAGCAGCAGCTGCGCAACAATTATAACAAACGTGTCAGATTCCGAAGCTTTGCAGTAGGCGATTGGGTTCTGAAGCAAGAGACAACTCATATAAAGAAACTAGAACCTAATTGGACCGAACCCTACAGGATTACCGAAGTAGTGGGGAAGGGAGCATATCGTTTGGCCGAAGCTGACGGACGTCCCATTGCGCGTCCTTGGAATGCAATACACCTTAAACGGTATTTCCATTATTTAAGTTTGTCAATTTTATTAAGAATTCTTCACAAGTAAGGCTGCGTTAGCCCACAGTCAGCTATGCTTTACTTTATTTTGCTTCTATTTGTTTCTTTCCATAAAAATGGGGGTCATACCATCATTCTATGATTATGCAATTTTGCATCGCAATATGTATTAGCAATTTTTATGCAAAGAAAGCAATTTTTATGCAGTTTTTATGCAATCACAGTATGCATTAGCAATTTTTATGCAAAGAAAGCAATTTTTATGCAGTATTTATGCAAAGAAAAAAATTTTAAAAATTTTTTATGCAAAGAAAGAAATTTGAAATTTTCAAATTTTATGCAAAGAAATTTTCATACTACACTATGATTATGCAATTTTATGCTTTTATGCAAAGCAATGTTGGAAGCAAGTTATTAAAAAGCATGCGTTTTAACCTATGGTTAAAACTCTTTGTCCCACATCGGATAAAAATAGAAAGGAAATGTGGTTAATATATGCGTAGTCCATGACATATGGTTGCCAAGAAGGGAGTATCAATGGAGGAAAGTCTCCAAAGTAAACAAATAGGAAACTTCGCAGCCATTGTTACTCGCTTTCTTGGCCTCCTATCATTTTTGAGTCTTCGGCAAGTTGTTTAAAAAAAAAAATGATGAAGAGAAGAATATATGTATAAAAACCTCCCTCCGGCTCAGCGCCGGGGAGTAATTCATTTGCCCCGGACCCTAAGTGTCCGGCTCGGCAAAATCTCGCCTCGGACCCTAAGTGTTCGGCTTTGTAAAAACCTCGCCTCGGACCCTAAGTGTCCGGCTCGGCAAAATCTCGCCTCGGACCCTAAGTGTCCGGCTCGGTAAAAACCTCGCCTCGGACCCTAAGTGTCTGGCTCGGCAAAATCTCGCCTCGGACCCTAAGTGTTCGGCTCGGCAAAAACCTTGCCTCGGACCCTAAGTGTCCGGCTCGGCAAAACCTCCTTCAGGCTTAACGCCAAGGAGTAATTCACTCGCCTCGGACCCTAAGTGTTCGGCTCGGCAAAAATCTCGCCTCAAACCCTAAGTGTCCGGCTCGGCAAAAACCTCGCCTCGGACCCTAAGTGTCCGGCTCGGCAAAAACCTCGCCTCTGACCCTAAGTGTCCGGCTCGACAAAAACCTTGCCTTGGACACTGAGTGTCCGGCTTGGAAAACCTCTTATTTGTTTTGCTTCGGACTAAGACAAATAAGGAACCTTCAGGCAGAGTACCTTTCTTTTTAAAAAAAAAAAAAAATCTCTCAACAGAGTGAGTGCAATATTAGAAGCATACAAGTATACTCAATCGAAGCAGAATAAAAGAAACACAGCTTAAGAAACAAGGATATATCATTCATTCTCAAAATTGTTTCATTACAAGGGAAATATATATATATATATATATATATATATATATATTTGCTTGATCATATTTCCTCCTCGGATCAAACGGGGCAAATTCGAAAGCATCTACTACAGCTGGACTTACAGGTGGAGGAATTGAAGGACCAGGAGTTACAGGAGTTGATGAGCTTGGAGGATCTTCCTGGTGAGCCTTCACCAGTTTAGCAAAAAGCGTCTCAGCCTCCTGAGCCTTCGGACCCTCTGTATAAGGGAAGGACACCCCCATGTTCACATCAAAGGCATCAGGATCCATCGATTTGGGGCCTGAGCCTTGATTGAAGCCAGACCGGTAAGCTTTTGCACTTAATAAGCGCACCAGACTGGAGTAACGACCTTGCATCTGCCTCCTGGCAACGATGCAGGTGCTAAGGGCATCATTCAAGCGCTGGACTTCAGCCTCCAGCGACTCAACTTTGGCATCAGAAGCAGCCAGACGCTTCTTGTAAACATCCCGAGCCTCATATGCAATCTGTGCATTGGCAATGTCATGGGATGCCTTCTTCTC